TAGGATCCAGACTGCACAGATGAGCGTGTACACATAACACGAGCTCAGCGACAAGCACGCCGGTTACGCCGCTGCTGGATCTTCACCTCCCCGATGAAATCTGACCATTCCATCTTCTGAATGATCTCAATGAGGCCTTGGCTGATGCGGAAGGTGGATTTCTCATCGAAGCGGCCCTGACCTAAGTGATGTGTCACATAAATCCTGTCAAAACATTTGTCATTCCAGTCTGAAGCGACCGAAACAACAATGCGATCTGCATTGCTCTCATGTACATCACTGTGGTAATTCTTAGTGACTTGATGAGGCAGGTCGTCCGTACGAGTCAGGTTGCCCATTTCATAGTACGGTCGGTCAGTCTCAGGAAGAATTCCTTCTGAATTATGGAATGGATGGAAACCAAAATCTCTGTCTTCTGGGTCACATTGTGCAATCATATCGCCGTCGTCATCAATCTCAACACATTCATCAGCAAACCACCAGAGCAGACTGAGACCATGTCTGGGATACGGCTGACCAAACCTGGTCTCTCTCAGATGGGCCAGTTCATTCAGCGTTCTCAGTCGGACCATTTTGTGCCTAGAAAACAGACCGGGAAAGTAAACAAACAAACAAACAGGACTGGATTGCAGGATAGGACAATGGGTTGCGCAAAATTGCAGGACTTTATCAAAAAGAATGAATATCACAAGTATGATAGTGTAATATGTATTTTTAATTTATTAAAATTGATTAAATAATATAACCTAAAAATATTATATTATTTATGTATTACATGTATAATATAATATAATATAATAATACATTTTTTGTTCAATTCAGAAGGGATCATAATAGAGCACTAAAATTATCAGCCGTCATTCATTTCCTCAATAATTCTCCTGTGTGTTGGCCAAAGAGAAACTTTAGTTTCTTGAAGATTGAAATAGTAATGTTTCTTACATATTTGCTTGGCACATGTTCTTTGTATCTTCAGCTCATGTTCTTTGCTCACTTTCCTATATAATTTATTCGTTGATTGGATAACCGTGGAAATTAATTAATCGGCCTAATATTTTTATTAAAGGGGTCATATGATGCGATTTCAATTTCTCTTTGGAGTGTTACAAGCTCTTGGTGCATAAAGAAGATCTGTAAAGTTGCAAAGACTAAAGTCTCAAATCCAAAGAGATATTCTTTATAAAAGTTAAGAGTCCAGGAGTCCTACCTAAAACGGCTCGTTCTAACACGCCCCCACATGTCTACATCACTATGTGGGAAGATTTGCATAACGCCGCCCAAATGTTCACGCAAAGAAAGAAGGTGTAACTTTTATTCTCGCTGTAGTTTTGTTGTTGACGCTGCAGCCATGTCGTGAAGGCGCTGTGTGCTTCGTTGTGAAAGCGAAACTACTTTGGTTGGTCTTCCAAAAGAGGACGATATCGCTTCGTCATGCCTAGAGCTGATCTGTGCTGGTCGCTGAGGGAATACAACAACTTCGCGCTGTCGATCGCCGGATCAGCTTTCACCGTGGAAGAAGCGGGTCCAGCCCGGGGTCGTCACATGTGGTTTCCGCAGGCATCACAGTATGTGAGGGGCGTAACATTTCCGTCACACGCTTGAGGAATTCGGCCAATCACAACGCACTGGATAGCTGGCCAATCACAGCACACCTCGCTTTTTCAGACCGATGAGCTTTGTAAAAATCGACGCGTTTCAGAAAGGCGGGGCATAGAGGAGAAACAATAATGTACAGTATGTGGAAAATAATGTGTTTTTTAACCTTAAACAGCATAAACATATTTCATTACACCAAATACACAAAATAATGTTCTTTTTAGCAGCATCATATGACCCCTTTAAATTGTGATCACGTTAAATAGCCTACGGTTTCAGTCGTATTAAAACATTTTGTGACATGACACACATTATCTGGTACTTAAAAAGACGGGTTTATGATGTGCTTTGTTAACAGATTACACTAACATTAGGTTACTTTAAAGCCTTTCTCTGAAAAAAAAAAGTTTTCAAAATCATCCCTCTCTCTGCTTTTTTCACAAATCGCACCCTGTGTATAGGTATATACACTAGTTAGTCAGTTAGTTAGTTATTCTATTAGTTTTACAGTCATTTTTAATCTAGTCTTATTCCAAACTAGTCTTATTGGACCAAGTGGACGCAGTAGGGTTCGTTTCTCTCTAAAAGCATCCACAGTTCAGCCCATCTGCTACAGACTGCAGGCAGAATATCTACGCAAAACATTTCTGCCACAGCTGTTTGTCATTGTTTAATAAGGCATATTTAAACAGCAATATAATTCTAATGTAATTAAAGATGGTCTTAGTAACAAAAAGCAATACAAATCAGACGAAAAGAACATAGAATAATACTGTACCTTATTCATGCGCTGTGGAGGATCTGCGTCTGTGTAGCACACGCGCTCCGTTTATTATTCATAATTCTGCCAGTGGGCGGTGACCAACACAAACTTGTGTCTAATCATTTCAACAAGACTACACCTGGCCCATGAATTACAACCTAAAGTTAATAATAATAATAAAGTTAATTATTATTATTAATAATAATAATAATAAATTAAATTACCTACTAAAATAAAAAGAAAATATGTAATTGTTACAGAAATTAAAACGGTTTCTATTGTTTTCTATTTGACTTTTAGTACATAAATATATATATATATATATATATATTTCTTTTCTCAAAGTGTTAAACGATTAAAATAAAGATAGCCTAGTTTTTACAGAAGGAGTGTTTACTTTTCACATAACCAGGGAAGTCAAAGTACAGCAGACGAAGAAAACACACAAAAAACTCCCAGAGACATTAGTATATTCATATATGGATCTTTGGTACTGACCGCCTCATTTTTGTGACATTGATAATGCTGATGTCGCCGAACTCATCTATAGTGATAAAGCAACAAAGCAACCAGGGACTACTCTACAGTGACACACTAGTTGTCCTACAGGTTGTACGTGTGTGTGTCTGTTGCTGTAGTGATGAAAAGAAGCTCATCATTGTGGAAAGAGAAACGCATGACAACAGGACAATTAAAGGTGGGGTAAGGCAAGGCAAGGCAAGGCAAGTTTATTTATATAGCACATTTCGTACACAATGGTAATTCAAAGTGCTTTACATCAGAAAGTATAATCATAAAAAAAAAATTATCACAAAAATAAAACAAGGAATCAAAAAACTTTGAAGATGATTTAAAAATTGATTTAAAATGATTATACATACATAAAATACAGTGCAATCAGTTCGGACATCGCACAGTGCTCATTTAATAAATGCACAGCTAAACAGATGAGTTTTGAGTCTAGATTTGAATGTGACTAATGTTTTAGCACATCTGATCTCTTCTGGAAGCTGATTCCAACTGCGGGCGGCAAAGTCGCTAAAAGCAGATTCCCCTTGTTTTGTGTGAACCCTTGGTATTTCTAACTAACTCGATCCTAGTGATCTGAGTGGTCTGTTAGGTTTATATTCAGTGAACATATCTGCTATGTATTTAGGTCCTAGGCCGTTGAGTGATTTATAAACGAGTAAAAGTACTTTAAAATCAATCCTAAATGTAACTGGAAGCCAGTGTAAGGACCTGAGGACTGGTGTGATATGCTCAGATTTTCTGGTTCTAGTCAGAATTCTGGCAGCAGCGTTCTGGATGAGCTGCAGCTGTCTAATGGTCTTCTTGGGAAGGCCGGTGAGGAGACCATTACAATAGTCCACCCTGCTGCTGATAAAGGCATGAACAAGTTTCTCCAAGTCTTGACTGGAAACAAAACATCTAATTCTTGCAATGTTTTTAGATGACTGTATGCTGATTTAGTTACAGCTTTGACATGACTACTGAAACTAAGGTCTGTCTCCAGAATCACACCAAGATTTTTAGTTGTTTGACCCCTGAGTCAAGGTATGCATCTTTGTTTCCAAATGCAATAACTTCAGTTTTCTCCTTGAAAAAAATTCAGCGATTTCAGGAAACGCACCGTCAGTCTCTTCCCTGAGCTCTTGCTTTGCTGATCAGAGTCTTGTCTGGTGTCTGCATCTGTGGTTTTTTAATGTGGTTTTAAATCGATTGTAAGCGATTTCTGGTAGCCAATGTTGACATTTGAAATCACCAAAACAAACACGCCCCTACCCCAAAAGGGTCTCGCCCCTATTTTGATAGCTCCGCCCCACACATACGTGCGCAACCCAGGCAACGATTAGTTCTGTGAAACAAAGCAAAACCAATGTTACACCGTCTACACCTATCGAGAACAAACAAAGCAACCTCAGCGTCCGATCGTTTTTATCCGCCATCTCTGTCTTTCTGTTGCTCGGCTCGTATAATGTCCGTCCTGTGCACTGAATGCTCTCTCCTCCACATCATGAGTAGACACGCCCCTTACTACTGATTGGCTACAAGTTTGTTTTGCTAGTCGGCCCGAATCAAAAGCATTTTTGAAAAATCGCTTACCCCACCTTTAATGAACTGTATAATGTCTTATATTCACATTTCACATCAAATATTTAATACAATTATGTATTATTCATGTTAAAATGTATTATAATTTATTAAGATTTATAATAAATTACAATAAATATATTAACACATGGCAAAGTTAATAGACAAGTTTACATTGTTAAGTAAAAAACTAAATCACACAAACACAAGTCAATGGTTTTTGGATTTTTAAGGTAATACAAATAGTATATTTCAAAGAATAAGCACAAAAAGTATGAATACATAAATTACTATAAATCAAGACAATGATTGGGATGTGATATCATCTTATAAAAATCCTAAAATCCAAAATCTTAAAATGCATTTACATCATTGCAATGAACCATTCAAAAGAATGCTGTGATAAACACGCAACCCTCAACATTGTATATTATTCTAAATAACAAATGTTAAATTTCATTTAAATAAGCAACTGACTCAAAAGAAACAAACTGCAACATGCTGTTTCAAAATTAGCTAGAATAACAAACAGCAGCAGATGAAAACTATTTCATTTTAACAAAGCATAGATAGCAGTAGCAATAATGAGCGGTATCAACAGACCGCAGCAAATCAGCACACAGCAGCATATCTTACTCTGACAGGTGTTTGTCTGGTTGTCTTGTCTTGTCTGGGGTATGCTTATGGATACACGTTCAGATCCATTCGTGGGTTCTCTGAGGAAGTATATACGACTCAACTCTTGAGTGTTCTTCATGAGTACATTGCTAGTACTCTGAAAGGTGTTAGTCTGCACTGACTGAGGTATGCTTATGGATACACGTTCAGAACCATTCGTGGGTTCTCTGAGGAAGTCGTTACGGCTCAACTCTTTAATGTTCTTCAGAAGATCAGTGCTAATACAGTAGGTGTGATTCTGGTCAAAGCGCACCAGATTTGAGTGCTGTGTCACATAAATCTTCTCAAATCTTTTCCATCTCGAGTCAAAGGAAACAATGATGCGATCTGTGTTGCTGCTGTCCGACTGTCCCGTGTAACTTCTTGTGACATAATCAGGCAGTGATCCAGGGGTGTGCAGGTTGCCCACCTCATAGTATGGTAGAGTAGTTTTAGGAAGAAGTCTTTCCTTATTATAAAACCGATGAAAGCCAAATGCTCCATTTTCAGGGTCACACTGTGCAGTCATACGACCATTGGAGTCAATCTGAACACAATAATGGGCAAACCACCACAACAGGTTCAGACCGTGTCTGGGACGCGGCTGACCAAACCTGGTCTCTTTCAGCTCGGACAAATTATTCAGGATTCTCACCATGTTCCTGACAATCCTGTTGAAAAAAAGTGCACTTTTAATGCAATAAATGTTATAATATTGTGATTTTAATGTACAATTACAAAAAACTGCAAAATGTAAAACCAAGAAGGGACAAAGATCAGTTCTTCATCAGGACTTTGTTTAAATCAGTTAATTTCATCTTTAGTTAAGTCTGCAGAATTGGAACACCTGTTATTCATAAAGTTCTAGAAATCCCCTGCCGTATATATGTTAATTTATTAAAAATTTGGGCAATTTTTTCAACTGCCAATAAGAGTAGAGTACTCTCAGCTCTGTTTTTGAATCTTGAATCTATTCAGCAGATTTTTTTCTCTCAAAAGCAGCACTTTAAAGTCTGTTTCATCCTCGACTGACCAAAACCAAACAGCAGGCTAAAAAAAAACTGACCTTCCAAGATTATGTATGAAAGTATAACCACAGTTCAGAATCAATAAAAAGTATTGTATATAGAAACATAAAAAAATGATACACCTTACCTTGTAGAAGCCAAACTATGTCTCTGGCACCGACTGCTTCATTTATATGACATGACAGCATTGCATGTTTGCTGATGTCACTGAACTCATGACAGTAACTACACTATATAACACACACTAGTCGTCCTACAAGTTGTATGTGTGTGTCAGTTGGTTTTGATGAATAGAAACTCATACTATGGAAAGTGAAACTTGCAGAAACACATTAGAGCAGAGGACCAGCTTGATTTAAACGAAACAATGATGTGATCTGTGTTACTGCTGTCTGAATATCCTGTGTAATTCTCAGTGACATAATGAGGCAGTGAGCCAGGGGTGTTCAGGTTGCCCACCTCATAGTATGGTAGAGTAGTTTTAGGAAGAAGTCCATCAACGTTATAGAATCGGTGGAAACCAAACGCTCCATTTGCATGGTCACACTGTGCAGTCATACGACCATTGGAGTCAATCTGAACACAATCATGAGCAAACCACCACAACAGGTTCAGACCGTGTCTGGGACAGGCCTGACCAAACCTGGTCTCTCTCAGATCAGACAAATTATTCAGGATTCGCACCATGTTCCTAAAAAGTCTGTTGGGAAAATATGTAAACAACAGGTTCGGTTTTACTTAAAAAGTGCACATGTAATGCAAAGAATGTTATATTTTTTATATAAAACATGCAAAACTAAGAAGGAACATAAGTACTAAAAGCAGTCAAACTTCAATGAAATCAACCCATTTCCTCATTGGATAACTCTGCAGAATGGGAGATCCTGTTAAGCATACATTTCAATAGATCCACTTCCCTTTGAATGATCATTTATTAAACATTTAGGCTCGTTTGATGGGGTTTTCAGCTATTAATAAGATTGTAGTAATATCAGCTCACTTTTAACATTTTCTCTCAGAATCAGCTAAATGAAGTCTGACCATTTGCATGCATTGATCACTTGCACAGAAATATGATCAGAAAGATTTCTGTAGCAGTAGAAATACTGATCCTCTAAGAATCTTGCGGTAAAATGAAGGCTTAATCTGCAATTGGAGTAAAACCAAGTCAAGATCTGCTGTCATAATCCATCTTTTTTGATTATAAATATATTTTTTAAGTAAATAAATGAACAGCTGGGACAATTCAGTGCTCTTACCGTGTCTCTCTGGTAATGAACTGTTGAGTCCAGCAGTTCCTCGAATGTACTCTTAAAAATAAAGGTGCTTCACGATGCCATAGAAGAACCTTTTTGTCTAAATGGTTCCATAAAGAACCTTTAACATCTGAAGAACCTTTCTGTTTCACAAAAGGTTCTTTGTGGCGAAAAAAGATTCTTTAGATTATAAAAAGGTAATAAAGAGATGGTTCTTTAAAGAACCTATGACTGAATGGTTCTTTGTGGAACTAAAAATGGTTCTTCTATGGCATCGCTTGAAGAACCTTTTGAAGCACCTTTATTTTTAAGAGTGTAGCAACTTTTGTGTCTTGTGTGAGGCCAAAGATACTGCTCCTAACCTGATTTTGTAAGCAAAAAAATCATCTACATAACACATAAAATGAGTACACCTTATCCTGCAGACGTAATGGGAGTGTTCACACTCTGATAATGGCTTTTGTGGGTGGAGAAAAGTTCTGAAAAGAAAAGAAACTGATGCTGCTTCATGCCAGATATTTATAGCAGAAAAACTGAAGGCAATAGTGCCTTAAATGGAATCATCGTTTCGGTTTATTGCTTACCTTTTAACACTAAAATCTTGTTTCATCAGAAATACTCAATAAGGAATGAAAATTGTGTGAACCATGTCTTCCTCACATTCTTTGTAGGCATAGGCTACCTGTTTTGTAAGGTATGATACTAGCACACGTACTTCATGGAAACGTCTATTTGACGTCTGCATTTACATCAGCAAGGTGAGTGTTTGCTCATCTGCAATTTGTCTATGACATTTCCTATCAGATGTCAAATAGACGTTTAGAAGATGTCTTTAAGATGTTTATGATTTAGAATGTATGTAAAATCTTAAAAGACGTCTATCAGATGTTTGTACACGGCAGATGTTTTCCAGATGAAGAGATCTTTAACAGACATCTTGCAGACATACGATACTAAAAGAGACTAATTTGCACAAACAAAAAAGAACAGCTTGAATTATGAGTTTCCAAAGTCATTTTATTTCAAACCAAGCCAGAGAAACCACACATTTAATAGAACTCAGGAAAAAAAGCAAAGGAATCAAAATTTGATTATGACACAACATTAATAACAGTAACGGGAGAAGCGATTAAATCGAACCAGTGCATGCTGGTGATATCTGCTGGTTAAAGTCATGTAAATGCACCGAAGAATAACCTTAACCACACATGTTTAATGCATTTAACACAACACCATCCTCAAACCACAGACGTTTCAAAACAGTAGGATGTAGCGAAGCCTCGTTTGCTGAAATCACGTGACTATCCGAAACAAGATTCATAAAGGTCTCGAAGCTTCGTGAAGCAGTTATTCGAACTCGCCCATCACAAATAGATGCTTTAATCAATTCACCATTACATAATAAAATGTATAATCACGGATATAATGAAAGCAGGTTAATGTCAGCAACTCTTTGAATGGCTCAAAGAATGGTACACCAGGAGTTGTTGTCAGGCACCGTCTCATGACGACTCTGTGGTGTGAATCTGATATGATCTTCTTGAGTGCTGGAGAGCTGAGAGAGATACAGCTCTCGACTCATGTTCTTGATGATCTTGAGGAGGCCCTGGCTCACTCGGTAGGTTCTGCTGCTGTTGAATAGTTTCGGGTCGCTGTGTTCAGTCACATACACCCTATCGAAGCTGCCATTGGCGTCCCGCCGCACAATAATGCGATCCTTGTTGCAGTCAGGATTTCTGGTGCTGAAATTTGCCCTGACATAATCTGGGAGCTTGTCTGCTCCTTGAGCTTTCAGGTTGCCCACCTCATAGTATGGGAGATTCTGAATAGGCACAATGTGATCATCTTCTTCAATTCTGTTTTGGTATTTGTGGAAACCAAAGTCTCCATTCTGAGGCTTGAATCTCGGGACAATATCACCATTGCTGACGTCGATATAGTCATGAGCAAACCAGTACAACAGGTTCAGGCCATGTCTCGGTTGTGGCTGACCGAAGCCAGAGCTTTTTAGCTGGGACAGTTCATTCAGGGTGCCTTTCACCATGATGGATGACTGTGTGAGAGAAAGAGACAATGAAGAAATATTTAGAATAATAGTAAAACCATACAATGAGGCAGTAAATACAAACCAGTCAGTCAGTTTTATGTTTGAAGGGAAAGTGCATTTTCGATGCTGTTATTTATCACCATTTATGTTTTCAACCACTTTGAAATCACTCTTTTTGCCTACTTTATTTCAATGGTCATGTTTATGGCAAATAAATTTTTTTAAAGGATTAAATATAAAAGGCAAACCGGGGTCTGGGTAACATCAAGCTGGTAGTATCTGACAAATGTATGTGAAGAGACCTAGCTTGCAGTGGCACAAATGTCCTATAGGGAACAGAGCCCACGATGCTGCTATGCCCCTAGTGGAGTGAGCTTTGAGGCCTTCTGGAGGCCACACCCCCTTAAGATTCATATGCCAGAGAGATGGCTTCCACGAGCCAATGAGAGAGGCGTTGCTTAGAAATGTGATTCCCTGTATTCGGGAGGGCCCAAGAAATGAAGAGCTGATTACTCCTTCTGAAAGGGTTGGTCCTGTCGATAGCTGCTAAGTAGACCTTAATAGTGGAAAAGGATTTACCACCATCAATAAGGTCTTGCAAAAAAAACTCAAAATGTCAACAACCTCGCACCACTCCTCAAACACACACCACTTGCAATCATAAAGGGAGCATGTAGAAGAGGCTCTAGCATTCTGAATGGTAGCAACAACATGTGGGGGGAGCCCCAATGTGTTTAAGTTTGCCCTCTCACGGGTCAGGCCTAGAGGGCCACCGTCTTGGTAAGGATGGTGAATTTCCCCGTTCACTTGGGACAGGAGGTCTGTGTCGTAATGGGAGGGGCCACTGTTGGGCATACAGAAGAGGAATTATCTCTGCCAGCTATGGAGATTTAGGCTACCTGGGTGCTATCAAAATCAGAGTCAGGCTCTATTCTTACACCCTGACCAGAGTAGGAGATATTAGGCAGGGCGGAGGAAATGCGTAGAGCAGCACATTGGGCCAAGGGTGGGCCAGTGTGTCCACGCCGAGGAGGGCATCCTCATCCCGTAGCGATAAGAACATCGGACAATGGACATTTTTGCGTGAGGCAAAGAGATCGACGGGTGAGGGTCCTTAGCGGCGATCACCGCGCCACACAGGCCCGTGATAAGCTATCCCTGGGAGAAGTAGCCATTTTAGAGAGTGACGTACTGGCAAAAAACTGAGAAAAATCTGTGGCAGGCAGCCGTGGAAAGAGGAGCAGCTGGGATAATGAAAATAGCCAGGCAGCCTGAAGACAAAAGAGAGCGTGGGTGGCTCAGGATGCGAGAAACAACTAACCTAAGACTGAAGAAAAAGATTGTCACATCTGGCGGAGGCTGATCTGGTGATTTGTCCTCCAGAAGACACACAAGTAAGCAGTTTTTACTCCAACCGAGCTGTGTAAGTGCAAGGGTTTTATGCACTCGGTTAAGGGGCGGCCCCTTACCTGCCATTGGGCACGCGCTCCTGTCTGTCAAGCCAGACTTGGTGCATTTGGATGCCTCTGCAGAGGTCAGGCACGGATGACCTTCCCATAGGTGGATCTCAAACATCTCGAACACGAGATGATGAAAGAGAACATCACACCACAGGTTAAAAAATTTTTTTTTCTCTCTTTAAAACTTTTCTAGAACTTTTGAGGGTCACTTTAAATTAAGACGTTTAACAGTATAAACTGAGAAAAGGCCATATTTAAATTTTCTCTTGAAATCTTATCATTAAAAATTAAGACATTTTGAGAATGTTGTAAATAAACATGGTTGTCTATCATGAAATTATGGGAGAATTTATATTTGATGTTTCTGTGTCTCAGACAATGCGTCTAAAAAGTGTAAGAAAAACACATGATTTTAAGGCATCATAACTGTGTACTGTTCTAATGGAAAACACAAATATCTTAATTTTTACCTTGTATGGGGAAGAAAGATGTTTCTTGCAGTGATCCGATTATCGATCTGTAGTGAGTTGAGTTCACTTAAGCTCCCTGGACAGCAGAAGAAGGCGATTAAGCCCTTTTTAAAATGATTCCTTCATGACACACCTCCTCTGAAAAGCTCACAGCTTGGAAATTGAAACTTAAGTTGGTTGGAAGGGAGTAGCCTACTAGTTTTTCTGATTTATTATGAAGTATGCACAATATGAACTGTATACTAAAATAGTATTTGGAACAGTATTAGTACGCCATTGTCACATGACCACATTGCATTGTATGTTTAATGCAGAGTGGAATTCTGGAAATAAAAAAGCTATTTTGTTTTTCTAATGCATATTCGAACATTTGCACTATATATATATATGCTATACATGTATACTGATATAATATGACTATGCTATTGTGAATGCTTGTGTGCATAGGTGATCTGTGTTATAAACTGACTTAAAAAAGAAATACATAAAAAAAATAATAATAATAGTAAAAGACAACCAAATTGCTAAATGAAAATGGAAAAACTAATGTAAGAACAAATATATGCGATGCATGTTTAAATTTGTTCCTAAAAAAATAAGAATAAAAATTAAGTTGAAAAAAAGAGAAAAATATTCAACCTAATACAAAATATTAATAAATACAATATCAAATACTCTAAAATAACACTGGTGTGCATTGAGTTAAATGTTGTAAATTGTTTCCAATAGTAGTTATTAAGACCTAAAACATTTACACAAAGAAATCAGTCAAACATAAGTGTAAATTTCTAGATAAAAAAAAATCTCATATGCATCAATTTAAGCGTGTTACCAAGGCACATTTCATTGACTGTGTTAGCCAAGTGTATTTTACTCTTTTTTGCTTTTGAATTGTACTTCTTGGGGTGCACATTTCTCTAATAAGATAAAACCCTAACTGATGAATATCTTGCAATACTTAGCCAATTAAATATTTTGGAGCAGAACAACTGGGACGAAAAAAATTCAGGTCTGGAAATCTCATGAGAAGCCTGCTTCAGCAGCATAACTTGAAGAGAGAGAGAAAAAAAAGTGTTCCTGTAAAAAGGGTGGTGCTGCTTCAGAGCAAAAGATAGGAAACCGAAACTTACTGTTTTTCTCTCTCAGTCACTTGCAAAATATGCAAAAGGTAATTCATAATGACAGACGTGACAGACTGTTCTTTGTTAGATAATTTCCTTTTCAAACCAGCTTTTATTTCACTGTCATCTGCACCATGACGACAGTCAAGAGCAATTCTGTGCTGTAACACAATGATCAGAGGCCAAGAGATGGACAACACCAACAGGACAAACAAAAAGAAGAATGCCAACCAGCGGTAGTGAGGAAAACTTGAGGAATGACAGTCAAAGAAATCAAACGAAGAAAGAACAAGTTCAACAGTTGTACAAATAAAAGACTGCAAACCAAGAAAATAGATTCTGCAATTATTACGAACAGCAGTAAAACTGTGAATTCACATCGAAACTGCTGTTTTAACAGAATAGGAGGATGATGGGATAGATATACATATATATATAAAATTTCCATTAGTCTGAATCCATTCAAGGACAATGAGCAAACGTTTTATCTTTGATATGAAGAAAACAAGAATGTGTCGTGGCTTCCCATATCAAACAGACCAACAAAAAAAAAAAAAGAGATAAAAAAATTAATTGTGCTGAACCTTCAAACTACATCAAAATTACCATCATAATTATAACTCTAGCTGTCAGTGTCAGCATAAGAAGGATTGGTATTAATAGTATGAATATTTTACTTCATTATTTGATATATATACACAAATATCCGCAATGTTTTTGCATTGCTGTATTCTTGTTTTTTTTCCCGCCACGCATGTGTTTAAGTACACTTGAAAATAAAATGCAATTTTCCTTTTTTAGTTTCACTGGAATATACAACAAACCCCAAATACGTCACTCATGATCTCACACACACACACACAGGTTTGAGACTCCCTTGACCTCAAGTGCCCACACACACACACACACACACAATCATATTCACACACACTTGAGCGCCTCAGTTTGTGGACACCGTCCTTCTCTTCACCGCTTTCCACATGAGCAAGAGTGGACCATAATGCATCTGTGCCCAGGCTGAAGGGGAAACATTAACAACCGGGTAGATCCTTCAGTGTCACGTACACTACACATCCCAGCGACTTGTCAGTTTCAAACACTGAAGCTAAATTCAAGCAGCGCAGCGTCTTCCTCTGGCTACAATGATGCTTTTATGTGGCTCTCCTGCTTAAAGCAGCACAACCTCTTGCGAGCATCAACAGATATGCTGTTCTGGAGGTTCTAAACACGCTCTGGACAATTCATTAGTCTTTTTAAGTGATTTTAGCGAGTGTTATTAAGAATATCAGAATGATGCTTCCATTGTCCCTCAGAGAACTGTAACAGATATGATGGGATTGAAAGGAATAGTTCATGCAAAAATGAAATTGATGTCATCGTTTACTCGCCCTTGGGTCATTCAAACCCACGTTGATTTTTCCAGTTCATAGTTTGTAAAAAAAAAAAAAAAAAGGACCAAAATAATGACTTAAAATCACCATAAAAGTAAGCATATGACTTGTGTGTTATATTTCAAGTAATATAAAAAGACTGAAATTTACATTGTTATTCACGGACAATCTTTCCATCTGCCAAAGCTACGACATCTCATTTGTGAAGTGTTTCAAAAATTGTGTGGTCTGACGGTCATTGACTCCAAAACGCTCCAAAATGCACAAAACTACCATAAATTCAGATGACTTGTAATATATCGTCACAACTCACATAGACAACTTTCATGATACTTTCGTGGTGTTTTTTTTTTCTGTAGAACAATTTATAGGCTTAGACCTAAACTTATTTAACTTAACACCCAAAAAGTCATCCCTATGACTTGTACATTATATTTCAAGTAATACAATGGCTTAGTGTGAGAGAAAATATTTAAATTTATATTGTTACTCAATGATAATCTTCCCATCTGCCAAAGCTCTGAAATCTTATTTGCTAATAGTTTCAAAAACCGTGCGGTTTGACAGTCATTGACAACAAAATCCCAATGGTTCTTGTGTCGTAATTGCTGTACCAGTTCGAACAAGTGGAGATTTCATGAACAAAACTACTTTTTTTTTTTTTTGTAGAACAGTTTACAGACTTGTCAAGCTACAAAAAGTACCAAAATAAGACTTTTGCATACGACTTGTACATTATATTTCAAGTAATACAATGGCTCAGTGTGAGGAAAAGACTGAACTTTACATTCTTTCTCAATAATAATCTTCCCCTCCACTGAAGATCTGACATCTCATTGCGAAAGGTTATTGACTCTAAAACACCACTGGTTCTTGTGTGTCGTAATTGCTGTGCCAGTTAGAACAAGTGTAAAATTTCTTGCACAAAACTAGCATATAGATACGGAAGACTTGGGATATAGCATCACAAATCGCATAGACTATTTTTATGATACTTTTATGGTGTTTGACAAGTGGTCATTCTATGTTAACATTAATAGAAAAGCGCTGCATATTTTGAAGAAGAAAAAAAAAAAGGTGGTGAGTAATCATTGACAGATCTTTCATATTTGTGCAAACCATTCCTTTAAAATCCATAAACCAAGGTGAACACGAAACACGCTCAATGAAAAGAACAAGCAATACAGTGCTTCTCTGAACTCACTCGCACATGTGCTAATTCACTCACACACACACACACGCACGCACGCACGCACGCACGCACGCACGCACGCAATCAAACAGGCACGCACGCACGCA